TCACTTCAACCATTGTACATATTACAGAAGAGAGCGATAAGAGTTGTGCACAAGATGGGGTATAGGGATCACACAAATGCAGTTTTCATACAGTCCAAATTGTTGAAGTTCTTTGATTTGGTGGAATATAAGACTGCTGTGTTTATGTATAAGGCCAGGAACAATTTATTACCTGGTGGAATCCAACAGTTATTTGGTGAAAGGGAAGGGGGATATAACTTAAGGGGACATTTAAATTTAAAAGTTCATGCTATACGAACAACCAAAAAAAGATTTTGTATTTCTATAAGTGGGGTCAAACTATGGAATAACTTAACTGTGGACATGAAAAATAGTACCAGAATTAAGGAGTTTAAATATAAATATAAATGTATGTGTTATACAAGATATATGCACGAATAAGTAACAATCTGCTTTATCTATGTAGTGATATTGCTTGCAGCCAATGTTGCATAAATTTTGTATAATATGATGTCATGGGGTAGGACTGGATAAGTTTGACTTCTTCCTACTCCATTCAAACATGTATTAGGTGTAAGATTTTGAATTAGCATTGGTTGGATATGTGTAATCATGTGTGTGTTATTGTCATTTGTTCATTGTTCTGTTCTGTTCTGCATGTTTGAAAGAATAAATCAATCAATCAAATAGGGGTGGAATGGCAGAGCCCCTAATTCAAAGGCTTTATGCAGCACTCCTGAAGAAATTCAAAGGTGAGGATAAAATCTAACCCAGGGTCAATTATGCTGAATAAACTTACTGCACACAGACATGCTATAACCATAATTAGGACATCTCCTTTTGTGGAGTCAGGTCTATCTCAGATTTTCAGACCAGAGAGCTTAACATGGAGTGAGTGTGGGGTACCTACCTCTTCCTTCTTCTTGCGTTTAGCCTCCTCTTTAGCTGGGTCAGGGATGGGGATGTCCAGTGGAGACTTCAAAGATGCCAGGTCATCACAACTAAAAGATGTCTGACAGCAAACACAAGTCAGGAATGTCCTCTTATGTCTGACAGACATTCTTCAGTATATAAGCCACCACTTGATCAGATTTATATTGACAGGATCAGTCTTAAGCTGTTTTTCCACTGTCAGAAGCTAACAAGCAGTACACCCGGGGCTTAAAGGATAAGCTCGGCCATTTTCTGTATTAAGTTTTTAAACAGTCCCTAAGAGAAGACTAAAACCAACAGTGATTTTGCCTCTACTCACAATTACTGTCCGTCAGTATGTCAGTCCTGAATTATCTTATTCGTCTTTGCCATAGACAACCATTGTTCAAAAATGATTTAAAAACATTTCAGGGAAACACACCACTGCATTGGATGACATGTTTACTTATTATGTGATATATTTTTTAAAATGTAGCCCCAAAGGATCCAAACAGCCATAACCTTTTACAGCATCTCAAGTATGCAAGAGTCAAGGGCCCACACACAACATCCCAGGATATTCCTAACAATTATTAGGGTCTCGTGTTTCCAGTGACAGAGACTGAATGGGTAGTTTATCAAACAGCTGTTGAACAAGCAGAACATAGACTTGCAGAAATGTGATGCCTTCACCGCTCTGCCCATGGTCCACTCACTGAAGTCCCTGTTTTATCTCTAAACCAGTGAGTGAAGTTCTCCTTTTACCTCTAAACCAGTGAGTGTGTTCACTCACTGTACTAGGCATGCTAATAGCTGAGGTGCTGACATTTAACCAATCATGGGCAACAGCTCTGCGAGCACCCTACCCCCTTGTGTTCCTGGAACTCAATTTCAGTACTAGTTCCTGAGGGGCACCGACATTCAGCTCCAGGAATGTGCTTTAAACGCAGGCAGAAGGCCCTGAAAGCAAACGCACAACCTGTGACAAGCATTAAACGGCTCAAAATGTTTCCATAGGGTCCTAAGATGGAAAAACACTATTAATGTGGCCAAAGGCCCCCAGTTAACACCCAAAATGCCTTCAAGTCACAGGACCCCAGTTTGCCTCATACAGACCCAGACTAATACCTTCAGTAGCATGTGCAGCTCTTCAATCTTCTGAGGGAAAAATTTGGAAATCAACTCTTCTGCCTGTTGTAAAGAGTAAAGTATGCATTAGAAAACAATTCTACAGACATGCACTGCATTCACAAAAAAAATATTTGCTGTGCAATTCCAAGATAATAGACAATTGTGAAGGAACTGGAGCTAATTCAGTGTCCTTTATGTTCCAAAACATAAACACATATAAGCTAAGATACAGGGCCAATGTTGTAGCCTACAGTGCAACTCGGTGTATCAAAAGCAACGTTATACATAATGTTCACTTTAAAAGTTAGGGTGCAGCATCAATGTTCCAGTGAGCAGCATCTGCGTGTGGCTGTCAGTCTACACTCCTACATGCACATCCTGCCAATCACATGCTTTGGGCCTGATGACTAGCACCTATTTTAGCCCCTGAAATTACAAATTCAATCATATATGGCAGGCCAGCACTCTTTAAGGGGAGTGTTGCCAGTCTCTCTGCATAAAACCTTATAATTCTCACCCTGAATGCAGAGAATACTGTGATTTGCAGGAATTTAGCACTTCTTACACCACAAACATGTTATGAGTAGTTTCTCTCTCTCTCTCTTCACCAAACTCTGAACAGTATTTGTCCACTTTTGTGGCTGTGACTCCATTGTGTTTCTAGGTTGGCCAAGCCACATTTCCATGTTTGAAACAAAAACAAAACACAAAGCATGGACAACCCTCACATTTTACCAGGTCTGTGCAAGTTTGTTTCATTAACAGAGTAATTTAGTGGTAAACTACTTTTAAGAGACCAGGAGTTGAGAAATAATATGCCACTTCCAGGCCTGTGTAGAAAAAAAATGGGTGAATGTTAACTCTCTGTACGTTAGACTCTCATATGTACTTATTATGAATGCAGTACACTTCCGTAAAGTTCAGATTAAGTTCATGAAATTGCTGGGAAATACGTTTAACTCTTGGGTAAATTACCTCTTTGGTGAACTTCTGGCAGAAGTCATCCACCTGCAAAGAAGAGATTATATGTTTGAGATCTGATGCATTACCTACAGTCGTCAAACAACGCAGATTAGAAAACGCGTCTCATCCTAACAGGCCGCGCAGGAGCGCGTACCTGCCCGGCGGCGTCGGGTCGCGGACCCCTGCTCTATGTCTGCCTATCAATCACACACGGAGACACCAGCAGTGGGTTCGAGTCTGAAGGGAATATGGGTAGAATAACGTTTGTATTTAACATATCTGAATCGCACTAGCAGACTCGGGCCTCACCTGTTTCTTTGACTCCGTGTGAATATCCAGAGAAGCCATGTCGTCACGGGGGGTAAAAGTTATGTGGAAAAGCGCTCGCGCCTCAGCAATGCTCTAAGAATGTATAATAAAGTCTTTTTGTGTAATTCAAAGCTGGGCACGACACGAAACAATGCTCACGGTTACGCAGCATAAAAAGCGAAAATGAAAGTAAAGCATGTTCAGACAGCGCCGTACTTTCCCACTTCAATATCGACAAACACTGTTGCATTGTGGGACCTGTAGTTTTGTTTATTCTGGATCGCCTCAAACAAATTTGCAGATTTCCAAGTGGTATGCCCCTATTTTCCAGCGACTTATGCCCTTTCCTAGTGGTGCTGCTTACTCCTGTGACTCAACAGCCAAGGAGCTGAGATAAGACTGTTGATGTTGGTGAAAAATTGCAATATGCTGTTTTGCCATAACTAGTTACAACTTACCCCAGCATGTCACATTCTTGCAGAGGTTTGAATTGGTGCCATTTGCAGTAAACATGAAGAATGTGACAGGGGGTAGGCCTAGTTTGTATATAGCTTGGATAACTCTAGCTCAATAATACAGTGAGTTCATGCTGAAGCAAAAAGTGTTACAACCACAGATTGTATGGTTACAACCATACCCAGTCCCCCCCATTTTGTAAGGTTTCTCTGGAAAGTAATGCAGTAGCCTACTGTTCCAACTGTTTCGGTAAGCGTGACTGTGTCCACTAGATGCTGCTGCTGTGATAAGAGCAGTAGCCTAAATCAAATTGGCCTGTGACAAAATTGCCACAGGAGACAGATAATGATTAACAGCAGCAGAGTAAACAGCTATGTTACATGCCACTTATTTTGCATTTTCTAATCTTAATGTGTTGAATTAATGTGCCTTCTGCCTTGACCACTTGGGTTGAGTGGATAGAGGAGAGAGAAAAGAGAAAAGAAAAGCAACAAGACAAACACTGCACAGGTTGATGTGGCCGGCGACTGCTCATCAGAAACATAGAGATCCAGAGCCAGGGCTACCTGCAGAAAGGAAAGGACATTTATAACCTTGTGTCATCATTCAACTGCTGACTGTCTAAGTGGTGTCTAGAAAACAAAGTGGGCTTCATAGACAGTTGGAAAACATTCTGGGGAAAACCTGGTCTGATTAGCAGAGACAGCATCCATCCCACTTTGGATGGTGTAGCTCTCATATCTAGAAATGTGTCAGATAAGGGTTTGAGCAGTGGACACAAATGCACAACACAGGAGTCAGAACAGTAAGTTTAAAGGTTTTAATATAAGAACACTGAGATGGACACAAGTGAATCAGATCAGACAGATTGGTATATAGATCATCTAGCAGAGGAGGTTCAAACCTACATCACCTGATTTTCCCAGGCAGTCTCGGATCCAGGTACTGAGCAGGCCCAGCCCTGCTTAGTTTCTGAGAACAGACACACCCTGGGCAGTGTGGCCGGAGGCAACAGAGTAGGAGCAGGGCCCAGGAGATGACCACAATGGAGTGACAGGGAAGATGGTGTATGTGGCAGACAACAGCGGACCACCTGACAGTATCCTTGGAGCAGTACCAGCAGTTTCAGGTGATGGTGGGAGGAGAGTAGAAGTAGCAGAGAGACACCTAGGGGACTAGAGGAAGATGTGGTGAGAGCAGTCCAGGGGGAAAAAAGACTACACAGGAGTTAAACCAAGGGAGGCCAGCATGCAACACAGACTGCTGAAAAAAACTTAGAAAAAATCAACTGGACTAGATTTCTAGGTCGAAGACGTTTCACCTCACATCCAAGAAGCTTCATGAGAGGTGAAACGTCTTTGACCTAGAAATCTAGTCCAGTTGATTTTTTCTAATTTTTTTTCAACTTACCTGGATGACTGAGAATCTGCACAGACATGCAACACAGACCAAATAAATAAAAATCACTCCAGTACTTGGAGGAAGAAAACCAGCTAACTTGTGCTTTATTAACTTGTATATATATTTTGTATTTATTTTGTCTTTATGTTGTGCACATCAGGGCCCATTCGGCTGAAGTCAAATTCCTTGTATTTTGGTACTTTGCAATAAAGTTTATGCTTATGTTTCATTTAGAGATTCATGGATTAGAACTGTTCATATGGCAGAGAAACCTAAAACTTTGCAGTTGGATGGTTGCTTTGCAAAAAGGCTGAGACTTCATGGTATGTTAATTATTTTAATTTTATTTATTGTTTAATATTGATTCAAATCACATTTAATTCAACTCTAGACAGTGAGAATACAAAACCACATTTAATAAACTGAATTTTGTCCCTGTAAGATATATCTCATACAACAGAAACTTCTGCCTGTAAATAAAAACCAAATGCTTCCCTTTCAGCTACACCAACAGGTCAGTATTCCCACTCTCAATGCTGATGGATGGTGGCTGCACTTCATTTTTAACAGTAGGTCTCACTAGTGAACGCTGAGTCAAACGAGGCTTCCAGTAACTAACCTTTTGGTGATAGCGTGGACCGCAAAGCCTCATTGCTTCAGGACAGCCTCATTTGGCCATTATTAAGGATCACAGTCAGAAACTACTGTATGTCAGCAACAGGCAGGCTCAGGAACACAACAGGAAAGGCCTTAGAGAAGGGAGAAAAAGGCAGGCAGGTAACTGGCATGGTAGCGGCAAGGTAATATACAAAGCCGGTAACAGATGATGGCTCAAAAACAAGTCCACCCAAAACTCCCAGTACCCCATAAAGACTCTGTCTGCCCCCGACCACCTAAATTATATAAACCACAAATCAGCTCGAGGAGTTATTCATAAGAACCTAATTAAAATAAAGACTACTTTTCTTATAGAACCAAATAACAGGACAATCAAATATTAGCTGTCTCTCATCTAAATCTCTGTTAGTGAATGATTGGATAAGTGAACATCACATTGATTTATTGTGTCTTACTGAAACCTGGTTACACCAGGAAGAATATGTCCATCTAAATGAATCCACTCCACCTAGTCACAGTAACTGTCACATCCCTCGAAGCACAGGCCGAGGTGGAGGTGTGGCAGCGAGCTTCGACTCAAGCCTATTAATCAACCCTAGACCTAAACATAGTTATAACTCATTTGAAAGCCTCATCCTGAGTCTCTCACAGCCAAACTGGAAAACTCAAAAACCAGTTCTATGTGTTATTGTATAACATCCACCTGCTCCTCATTCAGAGTTTTTAACTGGATTCTCAAACTTTGTCTGATTTAGTGCTTAGTACAGATAAAATAATCCCAGTGGGTGACTTTAATGTCCATTTAAAGGCAACAGGGCTTTTCTCAGCCAACACATTTACATACATATAGACAAAGTGAAAACAGCGCTCTTTGATCAGGAGCTGTGTGGACAGGGTGAACTCTGACCCAGGTAGCTTAAGGCTTAAAACAAACATAACATCAAAGCCACACTTGATCAACACAGTCTTGCTTATGTGTTACTGTGTGTTAACCCATCATGTCTGATCACATTAGGAGATGAACAAACACTTGCCACTGATTTAATCACTTGTCTGATAAAGATGTCATATTTACCTGCTAGTAAATCATCCTGTTTTATCTGTTTTATACTGCTTCCCCTTAACAGTTTTTGGGTGAATGATAGTTTCCTTTTAAACACTGCTGCATAAATCTTTTTATACCTGTGTGTTTTACCTAGTACCATGCAGTAAAACACAATAATAGATCATTCATCAGGCATGAGGTATTATTCCAGGTTGGATCCAAAGTACAAAGACAGTACCTGTTTACAGTGTGAACACCATTAGTTACTGATTCTGTGATTTGATTGGGGGATGGTTTAAAACTCTGCAGTGTGTTCATTTTGCAGAGGCTGTTAAGAAATACTGAGGACAAAGGTTATGCATTTGAAGAAAAGTGGCATGGGAAGAGAGAGAGAAAAAAACCTAGGGTTTTGTAAACATTTTTTAAAATGAGCACATTTTATAGTGTTCATGTGTTACAACATGTTATCACAACCCTCTACTGTTACACAGGGACCTTATTAACTGAAAACACAACAGGGAAATAGTATACAGGCTGGGTGAAAAGTAACTAGACATAAAAAATTGGCTATAGAACCTGTAGTATCACTGGTGTCATGATGAAAACAGTCTCTAAATAGACAATAGTAAATAGGATTTCATGTGATATTAAAGAGACAACACAGCATTTGTGGAAAAAAAAAATAATCTCATTCCAGATGAGAAGGCTGATATCAGCTTGTCTTCGTCCAACAGATAAACAATATGGCAAAAAGTATGTGGACACCTCAGTCCACACACTTTTGCATACTTTTGGCGTTTTTAATTACATTTTCTTCATTTCACGTGAAATTCTATTTAGAGACTGTGGATTGTGTTTGAGATATGTTGTACCCGGTACTTTTTATCATACTGACTCTGAGAGATGAGACAGTCCAAGTAACTACAAAACAGTGCTGATTTATTCCATGAACACAGGTAAAAATTAACATTACACGCTCAGGTATCTTGCACCTCCAAACTGCACGCAGGCAGATGTAAGATGAAAGACCCTGAACCCGCCAGGCCTATACATTATATCCCCTCGGTTAGGCTAGCCCCATACTACACAGAAACGTCAACCGAGACATCTCTGTTGCCAGCTTTGCAGCTGGCCATAGCAGTAGTCAAAACATGAAGTAAATCAATGTGTGTGTGTGTCTGTTGATTAAGTGGTGTGTAGCTAAAAACATTCTCACACGACCTCTAGTGACATTAAACATAAGAAAATATTATGGCTGAGGCTACAGTTCTACACGTCATAATAAGAATATTAACCATCCTGTCTGCTGACAGTCATCAACTTTTCTCTCTAGTTATCCTTGACCAGATGGACCCTGTAGAAACTCATAAGCATGACTAAGCATTTCACAGTCTAACTAGACATCCTATCTCCACTAAACATTTCTAATACATAAAGTATCTATCCAATATCTATCTGCTAAAAATACCAAACAGATATAAACAACTTACAATAGGCTACACACGACTTACTTAAAACATGACTACTGATACTACACCGGATGGCCTGGCTAATAACGTTACAAATAATAAGTTAGAAAGAAGAAGTAAACGTGGGTTAAACAAAATGAACACGTTTGCTGGCTCTTCTCCTCATGCTTATTTTCTGGGGACACTACCCGTGAACATCTGCCGAGATCTGTTTCCGGGGTTGCGTCGCCCATAGTCAGCCAATAAACACTAGATGCCGCACTATCCGCTTCTGTCTGTTACGGCGATACGTCACCGCGGCCGCCATGTTCCTAGGGGCGACGTTGCGCCTCCTAATGCTCGTATGAGGGCAGGGGATCTATCCACACCTCGCTGAATACAGCCAATATTCCAGCTGTTTAGTTGTTCAGAGATGCAGTTATGATATAGGATGGTTGGCTAAATTAAAAATGCAGATTTTCATATTAAAACACTTCATCGTGTGTAAAGTGTAACAAAATATTCATATAATATAGAATGTACACTTCGCATTTATTAAAAAGTAACAATTCCGCCACCCCTCTGCATTGTACAGTGGTTGCCATAATACACAGTTACAATAAATTACAGTTAGTTAATTACAAATTACAGTTAAAAGATTGAATGCATATTTTTGTAGGCTACGTGGTTCTCTTTTTAGTCAAATGTTCATATTTTACTCTATATTTTCCTTCACTTTGTCGATGTACTATAATTACACACAGTATTTGTGGGATGGTTGTGCAGATTTCCAGTTTAACAGTTTTATATTCTGATAAACCAGTTTTACATTTCTGTGCAACTGCATCAAGAAAGGACTCTGGGTGCATATAAAAAGAGCTTACCAGTAGAACTAACTGGGCACAGCTGGTCTGGAAATATAATCTCAGGCTGTGGCTCAGGAGGTAGAGCGGGTTGTTTCATTAGCGGTTTGATTCCCGGCTTGTCCAGTCAACATGTCAAAGTGTCCTTGAGCAAGACACTGAACGCCCAGTTGCTCCCGATGTGTGAACTTGGGAGTGCAAATGGTTGAATGGCTGAATAGTGTGAAAGTGCTTTGAGTGTGCTGTAAAGTGTAGAAAACCACTATCAGAATCAGTTTATTGGCCAGGTGTGTTGAACACACGAGGAATTTGACTGAGGTACATCGGCTCTCACTGTGCAAACAGTAGACCAGCATAAGGCTATAACATATATGTAATATAACAATATATAAATAGACCGTAAACAATGCAGACGACAAGGGAATGTTCATTGAAATGAGATAATTAGGGATATAGTACTTAAAACAGAGTACTAGAGACCTGTACGAGTCTGTATAATCTGTACAATGTATATTTACAGGTATTGCACTGAGGGTTATTGTCCAGTCATACTGTAGTGGGTTAAGTGTTCATCAGAGTGACAACCTGGGGGAAGAAACTGTCCCTGTGCCTTATTTTAGTGCACAGGGACCTTGTAACGCCGTCCAGAGGGGAGGAGTTCAAACGGATTGTATCCGGGGTGTGAGGGGTCAGCAGTAATCCTCTCCGCCCTCCTTTTGACCTGTGAGGTGTACAGGTCCTCCATGGAGGGCAGGCTCACACCAATGATCTTTTCTGCAGTCCTCACTGTCCGCTCAAGTCTGTACTTGTCCTGTTTATCAGTTTTAATTCCAGAAGGAACAGCGTCATGGCAACCACACGGAAGGAGACATGAAATGGTGGAAAACGGGACCGGACTGGTCTGGTCAGGAGCAGGCAGGTCAGAGGTCCACAAACAGACATTTAGGAGCTGTGTGAGGAAAATGATATAATGATGACGTGTTATAATGATACAATGCGTATGCTACATTTTGTTTTATTTCATTTGTTTGTTTTAACATTAGGCAAACTTTAGGAGTTTGACAGAGGGGTAGTTCGAGATGCAATCGTTGGTGTAGAGTGAAAACAGCAGAGGGGAGAGCAAACATCCCTGGGGGGCGCCTGTGCTTATTGTCCAGGTGCTGGACGTGGTTTTCCCAAGCCTCACCTGCTGCTTCCTGTCTGTCAGAAAGCTAGGTCTTATTTGTGCAGCTAATGTGGCTGGAATTAAGGAATATAACCTAAGACGGCACTACGAGACAAAACATCAGGACAAGCTGAAAAACGTGAATGCAGAGCAGGAGCTACAGAAGGTAGAGGAGTTGAAGAGGAATCTAACATCACAGCAAACATCACAGCAGACGTTTTCACCAAAGCGAAATCGCACAGTGAAGCTGCTGTGAAAGCAAGTTTTATTGCGGGAGAGGAGAAAATGAGCCCTGTCATTTACCGAGGGAGAGTTTCTGAATAGCTGTATGATGAAAGTGTGCGACGTCTTTTGTCCAGACAATAAGCAGGTGTTTGCAAATGTAAGCTTTAGCAGAAATACGGTTGCTGATTTTAAGTTCAAATTTATTTATTTTGTAATAATATTGTATCCAGTCTGTTTCGATTCATATTTATGTTCATAAACGTTTAGTTTTAGTCAGTTCAATAAATTTTTATTCTGTTCGACCCGCGACCTAAAGTGTGCTTTGAGTTTTGGCCCCCTGTACGATTGCGTTTGACACCCCTGCATTACAACATCCAAACGCAGGACAGTTGTGTGGCTTTTCAAATATTAAATCTGGCCAGAGCGACCCTACCAATATGGCAACGGGCGAGACGTGCGTCAGAGGCGCCGATGTGGCATCTAGTTAACATATCTACATGTTTCTCCGCGCTGCTTCTGGCTGTGCTCGGCAGTGCAGGAACTGTGGAAACTTGCATCGGCCGGTTGTTCCGCAGTTTAGAGGAAAGAAACAAGGATGTTGACACAGCCTGCGAATAAGTGGATAACAAGTTGTTGAGACGCCATAGCAGACACACCTCCCTCTCCCGCACGTTGGCAACCAGCGGCCAAACATTCCGAAGTAGTTTGCGGACCTCGAGGGACATATCAGCTGCTCAGCATCCAGGTTACTGGTCACGTCCAAGTATATCAGTGTCAGTGTGTGCAGGGAGCAAAGTACAGAGGTATGAGCCCTGGGCAGCTCTAGACGCAATCCAGATACTTCACTTCAGCCTCTTCCCACTGTCGCCTTTTGAAGCAGTTTTTAAAACTTTGCACCCAACGATGTCGTGGCTTATACTGGGACTTACACGGAGGTGAGTCATTGTGATTTTTTTTTTCTTATACTTCAAGCACAAACTTGCCGTACTTTGGCCGTACACTTAACATTGTACCTTACTTAAGCTACTGCGGAGGATATTTTTGTTTCACCTATGCTTTTATCATTCATTTAAAATCTGATATCCATATATATGTATATATATAT